GGATACTATGGTACCCATTAGGGTTAACATGAACAATGAAAGTGGAAATGCGATTAACATAGACATAGGGCTTGAGGCTTGAGGCCTAGACCGTTGGAATCACGGTTCGGGATATACCGGGACTAAAAGGCGACAGTATTGGCAGCGATTCAGGATTCGACAGCGCCTGTCAAATCAAAGAACACGTAGCTTGGGATACGTATCTGACGCCAAAGGTGACCCGCCAAAAGAGGATGCCATTGTGAATGGTAGCGGGCAGAAACTGAACTAATGAGGGCATCTGGGTTACCCCAACCCCTAAAATTGTGACTCCAATGGGGTCGTCATTATTTGTCGGGGTTGCCAGAGTCCTGTTGGTTACTACCAGGACAATACACCATATATCCTCAGTGTCCACGGTTTTGTGTTTCCATATTCTTGTCCATTTGCTTCTCGGACATGCTAAACCACACACACCCGTTTCATAACCACACCCGTTTCATAACCCTTAACACACAAAACCTATTGTAACTTATAATGCTTTATAAGTAGCTGCCTTAACCCATTAATAGCCCCAAACTCCTACAGAGTCATGAGCCACAAATGATCCTGTGTGTTCCTTTTTGGGGTTTGCGAAATCCTCTTATTCTAAAAACTAGGTTCCCCAGTGACCCCTTAATGATACGGGTACATGTTCCTCTTAATGTGCAGGTTTAACAAGGGGACCCCAAAACAAGACGGGGGAATAGGGTAATTCCTACTGAGGTACCCTGAGGTACCTAGAAAAATCCTAAGTGGCGGGCACTGGCTTGTTCTGCTTTCGCTTCACTTTGGAGGATCCCTGCAAGGTCTTCATCGCCGGCGGAGGCTTCTGCTTTCAGTGTAAAGACGTGCAGGGCCTAAACAATTTAGAAAGGGTTTGGGGGGCATAGTCTGCTACAGCTATAATAAGGATAACGCAGGGGGATTAGGTTGGTGACTTTGTAGGCTACTAGATTTGGCTTCAGGTTGTGTACTTTCCCCTGCATCCTTTGGGAGACTGCTTTAGAGTCCGATCAGTACCTCAGCTCCAGGGGTGACCCCCCCCACAACGAGTTTAGAATGCTTCTCAAGACGTTACCTTCGTAATTCCGAATTGCCAGCCTTTACATTGTCATCACCCTAGCTCTCTAAGCTTTCTGGGGTACCCCTGTTATGAGAACCCCCCTCATGTCCAAACACCAAGTGCAGCCACACCATGCTTGTTGTACAGCTGCCGCACTGTAGGGGCTACATAGGGTTTCGGGATATGACCCCGACAATACAAAACAAATGGAAAAGAAAATGCAACATGAAATGGGAACTGGGATTGCAGGAGGTTAGTTGATGTTAGAAGCCAACTGAAGCCCGCCAGGAGTGACAGTTCGATCCCCAGCCATGACGCTAACGCTGCACTGAACGAAAAAGATGTTATCTTGAACCGGCTGCTAGCATTCCAGCAGGAAGGTTGCCGACTGAGCTTGCAAATCGTTTGCGATACTGTTCGTCATGAAAACAGCAATGTGCTGAAGTGGCTGTGGCTTCCTGTAGAACAACACTTGGCTTTTGTTGCTTAAGGAACATGTTCATGGGAAGTATCGCACCTCCTCCACGAAGAGGTCATCGTGGCTCTTTCCAGGCTTCAGCCGAACACGGAGCTGATGCGGTGGAGTAATGTAGGAAGAGACCTGGCCAGGCAAGCATGTGAAGCCCACTCTGCAAAGACATCATGAAAATCATGTAGATGGGAGACATGAAGGACAGCACCTATGGCAACCCATGGCAACCCTAGGACTTTGAATCGAGAGCGCTCCGAGCCATATCAATTGAGGCGAAGCCTAGGCTGTGAAGCTCAGCTGCCAGCGCTACAAACTCCTCAGGTGACATGGTCATGGCCGGCTTGGCCGGGTCCACGCCCGCCCTGGCCATGGCCACGCGCCACGAGCTTGGGAGAATCTGCGTTCCCACACGCTCAACCTCCGTCAGTCGAGTTTCCAAAGAGTCTCCACGGCCAGGCCCACGAACACCGTCCAGAAGGAGTCGAAGCAGCTGGTCCAAGGCAGCTGCAGGCAGGGCCACCCCTTGATGCCGAATGGATTCTCGGGGCTCCAAGAGGACCACGGCAGAGTCGACGCGCGGGGGTGGTGAGAAGACGTCCGGTGAAAGCATGTCGGGGATCGCGAGTTGGGCACTTTGGCAGGCTGCCTGGACCAGCGCCGAGACGCGATCAAACTTCAGAGAGCCCGGTTTCGCAAGAAGCTTTCGTGCGAATTCAGCTTGCACCGTCAGGACAAGCCTGCCTATGGGCGGCTCCTGGCACAACAGCTTGCTGACCACAGCAGTCGAGATTCGGTAAGGAATATTGCCGACAACCGTTCGGCAGCGGCTGGGCACCGCTCGGCAGGTGAGGAAGTCGCCCTTGAAGATAAAGCAGCGGCTGTGTCCTACCAGCAACTCTTCCCAGGCCTCCCTGGACAGTGCACGAGCTGACTCGGGGATATCCCTGCAAACCGGATGATATCTGCGCATTACGCCACCTTTCTCCAAGGCCTGGGACAAGATTTTCTCATCTAGCTCAAAGCCAACTACGCCCGCACACGCAGAGTTCTGTAGCAAGGCAGCCGTCAACGCGCCGGCTCCCACTCCAATCTCAGCTACCCAGCTTGCCCCGCTTGCCTCCACATCCCTCAGAGTGGCAGCAGCAATCTCCAAGGCCACTTTGTGAGAGCGGAGGACATGCTGGCCATGTGAAGGCGTGGAGCTGGGTGTCAGCATCATGGCTGCCCGTTCCTGTAGAGACCCTGGCACGTGAAGGCTTCCACACTTGGGGCATCCTTGTCGGCGCTGGATGTGATCCCGCGGCTTCATCCAAAATATCCCATGCATTTGGCACCGTATGGCGACTGGAGTGTGGTTGTCTTTGTACTGCGCATACGAATAGTCGAAAAGGTTGCCCCAAATCCGGGTGCAATCTGCCTTAAATGCCTTCTTCCTGCGACCTGGATGAAGCCTCATATCACCTGTCAGGGACGTGGTCGCATAGTCTCCGCGGGTAGATGCCCCAAATCTGGCCACCACGCGTGGCCAAAGACTGCGCAAAGGCAAGACGGCATGGGCATGTGAGCACCAAACCATATGAGCCATAGTCTGAACTCTGAGTATCCCCCTTAATATCCCCAAATAGCACTCCCCTATATCATCCCCTGTATAACCCCCTTTGAGGAGTTTAGATTATGGCTCCTATCAAAGGGGGTGAATTATAGCTCAGGGTGTTCAACCTCTTACTCCCATTTCAGGGCTGGAGTCTGACAAAGGGCACCAGCAGTCGGTTTAAACTCGGCTTAGGGTTTAGGGTTTAGGGTTTAGGGTAAACCCTAAACCCTAAACCCTAAAGCCATTGAAACAATTGGCCACATGGCCTCCTTGCCAGGGAACAATCCTTAATCTGACAGGAGAAAAGGAGGGGTCCACATAGGTTTCTACCTGGATGCCACCATTTGGTTACTTCTTCCTCGAACCCTCGCAGGGCCTATATATAGACCTATGAGCATAGGGCGCTACTTCCTGGGACAAGTTATCTAGATCCTCAGCTACAAGCCGTTACAAAGTCGCCCTACGTATCCTGGAGGTTAGGAGAACACCGCACCAACATGTTTTGATAATTGAAAATCCTACGTGCCTACACCTTGGGCCTCCCACACAGCGAGGGCTGCGGGAACCCTAAGCTCTAAAGCCAATACCGTACCCCAAACCTGTAAACCCAGTGCTGCACAAAGCTCCAACTGAAGCCAAAGAGAAGAACATCTCGCCAGCCATGAATGCCTAAACTCCGCCCTAACAGCCTTAACAGTGAGATCCCCTATCCCCAACCTCGAGGTCCTCCGATGTAGCAAGCTCGAAAGTTTCGTTGGAGAGGCCGGACTTCAATGAGGCCTGGGCAGCAGAAGTGGCTACCAATAAGCACAGACCTGCAGAGTATATGAGCTGTAGTCTAAACTCCTTCAAGGGAGTTATATGGGGGATTTTATATGGGACTACCATAAGGGTTACTAAGGGGGATACTTGGCTCACATGTCTGCTATTTGAGGATGTTGCCGGCCAGTCTGTCCATGTTTGTCCACTACAGCATGTGTATCATTTGTCAGGATTCCACTGCAGTGTTCATCATTGCCTTGGATGCCGTCCACTGCCGAAGCGGTACGGAAGGAAGGTTGTGCTGAGACACAGGCCTGGTAGAAGCCTGGATTGCCCCGAACCTGCGTGGTGATGGTGGTCGTAGATTCGAGGTGGAAGAAAAGCTAGGGAGATTGCGGAGGAGAAGATGGGGAGGGGTCGAATGTGGGACATTTGCGCTATGCCGCTGTAGTCACGGGGCGTTGTATGCGTATGTCCTGCAACATATTCTTGTGTAGTTCTGAACTACCAAGCGGTGACTTATAGCTTCCCTTAACATCGCAAACTGCATCGTGCGGAATGATCAGGCTCAACAGATTTCCCCGCAGGTTCCAAGAACCGCTTTCGTGTTCTTCAGGGGCGATTCAGAAGTCACGCCATGATTCTTCATAATCACACTCTAAACTTACTGGTGGTTAGTAGAGAGTAAGGGAATATAATCCCCACATAATATACTCCCTAAACCCTGAACCCTACTAACCCCCAGTAAGTCGAATTGCTGAAGCCGAACCTGAAACCCTGCAACCCGATCCGTCACCTGGAAGTAGCCAAGGTTTCCCATCACGATGGTGTCGTCGGACGCCTACTTAGGGTCTAGGGTTTACGGTCTATCGGGTCCAGGATCTAGGGTTCAGGGTCCAGGGAATGCCCGAGCAACTTTCTGTGCGTAGCTGGTACTTGAATGGCATATGCTCACCATGGGGTCGGAAGGGTCATTTGAATTGCTTTGCATGCCCGCTCTAGCAGCTCCGACGACCACAAATGACTGGCTGACTAATTTTATCACATACCATGTCGTCCAAGCAGGACTTTAATTCTCGGAATGCGTCCATTACCACTGTTATTACTACCGATACCAGTATTACTAATACTATTTTACTATTATTATTGCTAGTATAGTACTATTATGCCTACGATTCCACAGCATCAAGTATCAAGAAGCTGCATCGACCTCCAGGGCCCCGTTGCCCGTGATCTCGAACTGCATAGGCGGGCAGGCGGGAAACCGAGCGCTCTGGAAATCAGGGATTTAGCCAGGGCCTATATATTGGGATTATATAGAGAATAACTAATGGAACATGGAAACTACTATAGTATATTGGGGGTTATATGGTAGTTTCCCAAAATAAGGGGACCCCAACATAGACCCCTAAAATATTGTAATCCTTATTATTGGGACCCCAAAAAGGTACCCCTAATTTTGGGAAACCCCCATATTGGGGGGGTTTATACGGAATAATTTAGCCAGCAAACACTTCTTCAGTTGAAGCTACTCCTGGGTCTCTAAGCTGCCGGCAAAAAGTGCACATGCGCTTCTCCTGCTCTGCCCCAGCAAAACCCAGAAATTCTATGCCCGAAAACCTTGGCTTTATAAACCCTACAGAATTTTACCCAAAATGGGGTAAACAAATGATTAATCTCAACACCTTTGACTTGAGCACCTGAGGCTTACCGCCTCAATGCGAACATTTCACGCTAAATTAGAGCACACCCTCAGCCTTCCCTAGACCCCAAACCTAGATCCTGAACTCTAAAGCCCCAACCTAAATTCTCAACCCTAGACCCCAAACCTAGATCCTGAACTCTAAAGCCCCAACCTAAATTCTCAACCCTAGACCCCAAACCTACATCCTGAACCCTAGACCCCAAACCTCCCAAACCTACATCCTGAAGCCCTCCCGGGGCCACGAATCCTGCATCCTGCAGTGGCACCCTCATACCATACTATGGTATAAGATATCATAATCTACCATGATGAAATGCAATATACTATAACATACGATTATATACTATAATATACCATAATCTACCACAATATACCATAATCTACCATAATGTGCTTAATACTATATTATATTACAAACACCTAAACCCTAAACCCTAAACCCTAATCCCTAAACCCTAAACCCTAAACCCTAAACCCTAAACTCCAGCCTGAATACCTTTTGCCGTTGCAATTGGCCAGCCATGGTCCCCAAGAATCATCGCCTGGCCTTCAACCTGCCGAGACGGGTTTAGGGATTTTTGGTTTAGGGTTTAGGGTTGAGGGTTTAGGGTTTAGGGATTTTGGGAAGTTGGGT